CGGATATCGCGCTAGTATGGAGGCGATAGTAGCCGAGTTTGTGTCCAATAGGCAGCAACCCTCCGCTTTAGGGACTATCTTTGTGTAATTACATATGACTAACCTGAAAAGTTATTTTGTTAAAAACAAAAACAAAAATAAAAAAAATAAAAAAGTTAAAACATTCCAAATTCTAGTTCGACAAGTAAACGGTGAATTAAAAGAGCTACCTTGAACTTCCACTGCTTAATTTCCTTTTCTCTCGCTTTTATGGGATACATTGTCTGCATTAATTTGATTTTTAACTGGCTTATATTCTAGAAATTCACCATGCATCAGTAATGGTAATAAAAAACCTTTTCCGTATTGTTTTATTCAATTGGATTACAGGCCAGCTGGTGAATTGCTATGGTTAGTTAAACTTCTTAAACGTATATCATGGAGCATTATTTTGACGCGGACCGTGTTGGTGTTGTACATCCGACTATGAATTTTTAAGAGTCTTCTCCTGACCTTACTACACATGTAAAGCAAGGGCCTGCCCCATGAGTCGGTCTGTCATTGGAGCGTTTTTTTTTCATTGCCTTTCTCTCTGTCAATAAGCTCCTGAAAGAAGACACACTTTTCGTAACAGGTTAATTTTGGCGGCTTTTATGTAGAAAAGTCGTATTTTTGGAATTTTCGGATGGTTCGTGAACATGGATGCATCAACACAAGGGGACAACAACAATAAAGAGCTATTTCGTGAGTACACAAGTTAAAAGGTGGACCCAGTGATGAGAGCTGTTTTAGAGCAAAACAAAAACGCTAGCGTAAGTGAAAAAAAATTTTCTTTGAATTGTTTTAGATGAAAAGGTACACTTTAGAAAATGCATTTGCCAGGTCAGGAACAACGAAAAATGGTGCCCCACCCTTTCCCCATGCAGTTTATCCCCCCGTCTTTCTTACTTGATTATAGATATGTACAAAATCAGATTCTCAGCTTGAGCCAACGATTTTAAACTGGGAGCTGGGTGGTGTTCATCTGCATGGCCACACTTATTATTCGCTGTGAATCTTTTGCAAAGGGTTGTTTTTAGCCCAAGGATCTCAACAGTGACATAAAGCTTAACGTTTATGTTCACAAAAACAACCTCACTTTCTTTTGAAGACTCAGCCCAGGTATTGCTTAGCAGTAGTCATTTCAATTCGGTTATAGGTTATACATACATACATACTTTATTGCATAGCTCCCCCCTGGGGGCTCTTCCGCCATACATGAATATAAGATATTAAGTCGTAAAAACGTCATAATAAGATAACATGATATTAAAAAAAAA